CGTCTGATGTGGTCCCGGAGGCCTTATTTTAGTCTCTTTCTCTTTCCACTCTTTTTTACGACGAAAAGATGGGAAAGACAAGTGGATTTGACGGTGCAGCCATTAAACTTAGGGGGTAAATATTTTGAAAAAAAAACCCTAATGTGGGAAAGAGGCCATAAGTTACGAGCTCCCAACATCAAGGAAGGAAGGTTGTCATTTATGCATTTGAATTTTGACATTTCACAAATGTAAATAATATAATAGTTTTTATAATTTCTTGTGGATGAAGCCGCACGGGAACAGCTAGTATATTTATAAAATTCTACTATTTATTGAATGTTTGCATAACTGGAAACGGACACAAAAGTATGCAAATAACTTAATAAAATGAATGTTAAATAGTTTATGAAGAAATTTTTGAATACACAAAGGCAGTAAATTCTGATGTTTCAATTGTTTATTGCTTCATATATTTCTTGATCAATTTCTTTCTACCCTCATTTATCGGGATAACGAACAATGCTCACTTTATATGTAACTTTATACTCGCGTATGAGAAATAATAAATCGCTTACGAATAATATTCTCAAGGTCATTAAGATAATACTGTAAGGGAATACGTAACAGCGTAATGGTAAAGCCACGCATAAACTTCTTCCATTAATTTTGATGTAATCACAACCACTGTTGATAACCAACGATGCTACCAAAATCAGTGGAGGGTATTTTAAATAAAATATGTGACTACAATATAAAAACGTCGGTGACTCAGTGGTTTAAGCACTTGACTTGTAATCTACAGGTCTTGGGTTCGAATCCCGCCACGTGATTTGCGATATTTCGAATTTTTATATGTATATAATTTACCTGACGTTCTAACGGTAAAGGAAAACATTGTGATGCAACCTGCACATTTCGGTGAAATTCAAAGATATGTGTGAAGTCAACCAACCCGCACTTGGCCAGCGTGGTTGACTATGGCCTAGTCACCCCGTATTAGGGTAGGCTCCGAGCCCCTCGGTGGGGACATATAGTGAGCTGGTTGGTAATGATATTGAAAATCGCATTCAATTTTTTTTTATAGGTAGCTGACAGACGGGCATAATAGAGGCTACTTTTTTATCTTAACATTCCGTGGACGAAGTCGCGGGCAACAGCTAGTTTTAAATAAAATATGTCCAAGATAGGTCTTAAGAAGTGATTGATTTACTGATCTTAAGAGTTTTGTAAAAAATGTATCTAGCATAAAAAAAGTGAACAAGATAACTGCGCACACACTATCAATTACTGGTACACCTACTTAAGTTTATAAAATATCCTTACTGTATATTAAAAAGACGTTAGGAACAGCAGTGAAATTAATATCGCGAAAAGCTTTTGTACAAAGATGCCCGAGAGCTTCATACATTGAAGGTAGTTTTAATTACTTTGTTATTGAACACGTATACGACAAAACGCTACAAAATATTAATAACATTTCTATTTTACTGAAACATCCTTTGTTGTCAACACAGTATGTTCAAAAATAATATTTTATTGACGTATTTTACGTAGAACTCGATGCTGTCAAGTACAGGTAAATTTATCTTTATTACAGTTTATATTAACGTTATTTTGATGCTTTTGAAAATTATTGTAATTTGAATACATTTAGTAGATACTTGCAATGTATGAAAAAAGCATTATAAAGGTTGAATAAAAAAAATACAGATGAATTGAGAACCTCCTCCTTTTATACGTAGAGTTAAAATATATCAGCCTGTAGATTAGAGAAACTTTATGTTACTACTGGTTTTATCAAATTCATACGTTTAATGCTAGGTTTTCGAAGTGTCCACTAATTTTGTCATTACCTAACGGTTCAGTAGTATTAGGTTGACCTGTTTCAACGGAGTTAAACTCAAGTTACCTAGTACGGAGAAGCATTTCATTATCGAACCAAAGACACTAACTAACCAATGGATAAACATAGCTGGGAAACCGGCCGTAAATCCTATTTTCATGCTCTAACTAATGTTAACATAAGTTATGTTCTTATAGAAATTGTTTTCTAACTTTCCTTAAGGAGGGGATGAAACGGTTTTGTAAATGTTTTATCAGTGAAAACACGTGTTAAGTTAATCTCATATAAAAGTAATTCAATTTGATCATCGAGTCGTTATGTAAAGTTATAAAACAGCCATAACATTTGAAGTGATAAAGCTTATAAAACCTTCATCTTCGAGACTTGAAGCTATAAATAATATTTTTAACGATTTTCCCTGGATATTAACGTTTTTATTTTCTTTTTTTATAGTTATTAGATATGTAAGATTGTTTTTGTGGGCGTTGTCAACGAGAAACCTCGCCGAGGAGCTTGAGTCCTCTGCTATCGTATTTTTTCCCCTTCAATTGCGTCTCCTTCACCGTAAAATCTACTTTCCTTTGCCATCATTTCCTTAAAAGGGACTTAAATTAGGCCTCCGGTACATAATGGTCAGACGAAACGAGGAATTATTTCCACTTAACGCCTGCCTGTGTGGTCGTAGTATTGCACTGGCGAGGCGGATCATTCGTGCGAAAGGCATCCAAAATAGGCATTTGTATTTCTGCCACATGCCACTGCTACATATTGCCTCTCATATGTTAAAAATATGAGAGGCAATATGTAGCAAATAGCAGCAGTGGCAGCCTACGTTAGATATGACGTCACATGTATTATAGGAATTCTGTTTAGTCATCGATTACGCAGTTGCCAAGTATCAGTTAAGTGGGAGGAAGCTTCCGGCTTGTGACTGCGATAGAAAGTGACTGATAGATACATTGAATATTCCTTTTCCTTTTCCAATCATACTAACACTATAAATGCGAAAGTTTAATGGGTGGATGTTTGTTAGCGTTTGTAGCCTAAACGGCTGAACGGATCTCCATGAAATTTGGTACAGGTTTAGAGCATAGTCTGGAAGAACACATAGGATACTTTTTATCCCGGGAATAGTTGCTGTTCCTGTGGGATTCATTATTTTAGTTTTTTTAATGTTTACTCGATCATTCTGTAACGGTTCAACATATCCTTTTGAAATTTGGCACAAATATAAAACAAAGTCTGGAGTACACATGGGATGAGGTTCATCCCCGAGAAATGTCCGGTTCCCGAGGGATATGTAGCTTTTTGTTATTTGTATAGTTCGTATGTTTTCTAATACCACGCGGACGAAGTCGCGGGCAACAGCTCGTAGTAGTATAAATGCGAATGTTTAGATGGATGTTTGTTAGAGTTTGTAGCCTAAACGGCTGTGGATGAAATTTGGTATAGATGTAGAGGATAGTCTGGAAGAACACATAGGATACTCAGTTTTGTTTTTTTTGTTCTTCCATACTACTAAATCTATACCAAATATCATCGAAATTGGTTCAGCCGTTTAGGCTACAAACTCTAACAAACATCCATCAATCTAAACTTTCGCATTTATAACATTAGTATGATGTATGTTAAGCTCCATAAGATAGCGTGAGTAAGATTATGTTAAAAAAAATCATCTGAATTGTCAGTTATGCTAACTCTTTTTTTTAATCTCTTTGCTTTGATCCAATTACTAATACATATTTTTAAATTGTTTGTAAATGATCTGACTGTACAATATTTGTTCTTTAGTATAAATTGGTATCACATTGAGTTGGAGTTTTAATGAGAAACGTAGCGAAGCGGGAAGCGGACGTGCGCGAGATAAGGGAGTACCGAGCAAGGACACGCCATCTAATATCACCGATACAACCTTGCCAGTTATTTATAGAAAGAACGACTTTATTTACCTTTTTTACTGAAGTACACAAAAGATACGTTTAGAATTATTATAAGGTGGGAAACGAGCAAGCGGCCATTCGGTGCCGAAATTGAGAAGCGACCGCTGTCCATAGACTTTCGCATTCAGATGCGTGGCCTAGCCTTAATCGACGAAGGAGGAGACGCACATAAACAGGATATTTCCCCTTCCTATGCGTCTCCTCCACCGTCAAATCCATGTTCCCTTCCCAACCTTTACTTATAAAAGGGTGGGAAGAAAAAGGGAATTGCTTCCACTTCACGCCTGTGTTCTGTGTGGTCGTGGTACACCGGGCGAGCCAGCCCATTCGTGCGAAGATGTTAAAGCGGGCTCTACCACTATAACACATGAGTCGTATAGTACAAAATTCATGAGAAAAAATCTTGATGGCTAAAAATCTCCGGTCTAAAAAAGTATGGCTTCTGTAAAACATATGTGCAAGAGTCCGCGTACATTTTGACCAAATTATCGCAAAACTGTTTAGTCTCGCTGTGATTCCTATGAGCTTATATGGAGGTGCGCACATTACTTGATTTTTAGTTGTACAACTAAATAGTTGAGGCTGCGAAACAATCGACAATCGCACAGTTGTCCGATAGTTTAGTCAAAAGTCTGCGACCGTTCTAAGAGGAGAGATATGATGGTGAAAAAAATGTAAAAAAATATATCAACTAGTACTGTGTCCACCCTGCTTAGTTAAAGTTCTAATTACGCTGAAATACATGTTCATACATGCGTAACTTAGTTCTTTGGGCTGATTAGTTCAAATTACATTAATTTTCAAGCAGTTGAAATTACTGCATTTGTGCCAAACCAAAAAGTTTGTTTTTTTTTCAATCTTTTACAACTCTGTCTAATTTTAGGGACTGTTGTATTATTTTATTAAATTCCAAAGAAATTATATAAGTTAATTCAACGAAAATGTAAATAACTCTCCTAAATAGGGAAACGGAGTAAGTTTTGTCAAAATGTATATGCCAACGCTCCAAATTTTATTTAAAGATATTTTTTTAATCAAACAAAGTTTTAATCAAATATTTAGTAAAGAAGAAAATAACGTAAAACAAAACTTAAAATTCTATCAATACCTACTTTTTTTGCACGTAAAAAAAACTTCGTATTTAAAACATTGCAATACTTGATAACTCAAAGATCAAAACAATAACAAAACAAGAAAAACTTTTATAAATTTCTATAAATCGTTTTTATACTTACTTTGCTCGCAAGGAAAGCTGTCTATCGTTTGGGCACACATATTTATTCACTTTACTTTGATAGTTCATTGCACACATTAAATTTGATTTATTTTTACTTCATACGGGACAGGAATCAAAATACCGCGCGTTCCCGCCTGTTGATTCCGTCCAACTGTTGCTTCGAGCGTGGCTACTTCTAATGATCGATATTAAAACAACGCACTCCAAAACAGCTGATGTAACAATACATTTAATACTATTAAGTTTTTTTTAAGACTAAAACAATGAAATTAATATTTTAAAACTCTTTATTTGTTCATTTTATTGCAGATGAAGGGTCAATAATCTCAAAATTGAATTAGCATAAACCTTTTTGTAATGCTGCCGTTAACATTCATTCCAAGTAATATTAAAATATCAAAATATATTTTTAAAAATATGTAAATTATGTTATTATCTTTTAAATACAATTTTAATTGCAATTAATAAAAGGTATGAATTAAATTAATAATATTTTGTAATAGCAATCTTTTATTGTAACTGGTAACATTATGTAGTTTAGAGTTGTTCGTTTTTCGCATAACGTGTTAAATCACGTACATTTAACTGCTAAGGTAAAGACATTTTTTGAAGGTATTTTCTTTTGGTTTTACCTTATTCATTTTTGTTGTAATTTATATTGTTCCTAACTTTGTTATAGTTAGCAACATTTTTATGTTCATCACCCATAACTTAACATTTCCATATGGGTTCTATTGTTATTTTTATACAAAATTTTCTAATGATGTTAGACGTTTTTCTTTTTGATTAATTTTAGATTTTTTAAATAACTCATCATTATCATCTCCATATCCTACTCCCGTAGGATGGGCGCAATTGGTTTTTGTCCTCCACTTAACTATATCATACGTCATACATAATATACTCATTTCGTATCTTATCCAATCGTGTTACCTCAGTTATCCATCTTAACATTCACGTTTCTGCCACATGTAGTCTTCTTTTATCCGTCCCTTATACTGCCTAACTTTCAGATCCGTACATCATGATAGGTCTTCACAGAACCAATTCGGGTTTATGCCAGGTCGAGGAACAACGGATGCCATATTTGCTTTACGTCAGATTTGTGAAAAGTACAGACGTGTACATAAGAACTTGCATATGGTGTTCGTTGACCTTGAAAAGGCATACGACCGAGTCCCCCGTAAGGTTCTGTGGTGGGCGATGAAAGAAAGACAAGTGCCTGGGAAGTACGTGCGACTCATGAGTGCTATGTATGAAAGAGCGAACACTCACGTCAGGTCCGAAGCCGGCGTAACCGACAAGTTCAGTGTGGCTGTGGGCCTGCACCAGGGATCGGCTTTAAGCCCTTATCTGTTCCTCCTGGTTATCGACGCGTTAACCGTGGAGATCCAGGAGGAAGCACCCTGGTGTATGCTGTTCGCCGACGACATTGTTCTTGTTGGGGAAGATGCGCTTGAGGTCCAGAGCAGACTGGAGAGATGGCGGGATAAACTGGAGACAGCCGGACTAAAGATAAGTAGAGCAAAAACGGAGCAGTTATTCTGTGACTTCGGGGGCTTATCCAGTTTTATCCCGATTGCCTTAGATAGCGCTTATCTCCCAGTTTGCTCCGACTTCCGGTACCTCGGCTCATTAATCCAAAGCGACGGCTACATTGACCGTGACGTGACAAATAGAATAAAAGCGGGATGGTTGAAATGGCGACAGGTCACAGGAGTAATATGCGACCCTCAAATTCCACTTAAATTAAAGGGGAAAATTTACAAGGCCGTCGTAAGACCTGTCATGATGTATGGATCTGAATGTTGGGCAGTAAAAGGGACGGATGAAAGAAGACTACATGTGACAGAAATGCGAATGTTAAGATGGATGTGTGGGGTAACACGAATGGATAAGATACGAAATGAGTATATTAGAGGAAGTTTGAGAGTAGCCCCCATAGTAGAGAAGGTTAGGAGTAAAAGGTTAGCATGGTATGGGCATGTTATGAGGAGGGATGAATCGCATGTTACAAGGAGAACGTTAGTTATGAGTGTGGAAGGGTACATCGGTAGAGGTAGACCTAGAAAGAGATGGATGGATTGTGTAAAAGGTGACATGATCAAAAAGGGAGTGATGACTGAGATGACGTATGATAGAGTTATGTGGAGGACAAAAACCTGTTGCGCCGACCCTACGGGAGTAGGATAAGGAGATGATGATGATGATGATGACATCATGATAGGTCTTGTAAATTTTCCCTTGTAATATTTTTCAAATAACTATGTAGTTTTTTAACTACTAGCTGACGCCCGCGACTCCGTCTGCGTGGAATTAAAAAAAATGAAAAATGAGTATCCTATGTTTTCTTCCCTACTATCCTTTACGTCGATACCAAATTTCATAGAAATCCGTTCAGCCGTTTAGGCTACTAACTCTAACAAACATCGATCCATCCATCCATCTAAACTTTCGCATTTATAATATTAGTAAGTATGATAATTGTCCTGTTATTATCTTGAACCGGTTACAGTTTCTTATAACCTAACCATTCCCGCAATAGCAGATATTTCTCCGGTAGCACTGCTTATGTTATCGCACATCACTAGTGTCACAATCTTGACAGTTCACTTTTCAGTAATAATGGCGCACTTGCGAAAGGTGCATACATTTCTGTAAATTAAGTTTGTGTATTCTGGTGAAGTGAATAACAAAGTTGTTTTAATGCCGTACCGCAGGCGTTTTTCGACCAAGATGACGGATTACGACGACGATATCACTGTCGTCGACGTTTATGATCTGGCATCTGATATCGGGAAGGAATGCGAAATAATTATCGAGAAATACGGCCCTGATGCTGTAACAGCGCTCTTGCCGAAAGTTATTAATGCTCTTGAACTGCTAGAAAATTTGGCGGTGCGAAACGAAAAGGAAAATCAGGCGTTACTCGAACTTACAGCTAAGATTTCACAGTTAGAGAATGATAAAATAGAGAAGGCTGAGTACAGACAACGCTTCGAGAAGGTAAGTTGGAGAGGTCATTGCTTGATAGAATTATTGTTACTGTGCTTGTAAACGCACGAAATATTAGTTTCGACATTTGTGAACTCATTGGCTATACTTGCAACAGCGTTATATCGTCCAGTGAATATTGCACGACGTTGATAACATCGCATTTCGCTTATTAGGGTTTTGCATTACTACGCGTTTGTTTTTTTAGTTATTTGTATATAGGGAACTTGTTAGATGTTTCAAGTATTACTTTTGTTATTCTTTACAATAATTTAGAGATTTTTTATTGTAATTTAGCAGAAACTGTATCTGGTATTAGCAACCTTTTTGATAAACCAGTCTAGAATAATATAAAACACTGCTCTGTAGACTCAATAGTATAATTGGATTGAATTTATCCTGCGTGCATGACTCATATTGTGCTACAGACATACAAGTACATAATTGGTGTGCTGTTATAAGTTTATTACTTAGAGTAAGAAAAGTAACAAAAAATATTTTTTGCAATATAAATTGCTTAATTGTTTATTCATTCAAACTTTTTTTCTTGTTACTTAGCGGACAAAGTTCACAACATGGTGGGGAAGGCATTATATAGCCTTCTTAGTAAAATTTGTTAATACTTTTTTATTATTTAGTAATAACAAAATAACCAAAGTATTAAGACTGAATGTACAAAGGTAGAGGAAAATCAAAGAAAGTATGGATGGATTCTGTGAAAGAGGATAAGAAGGGATTCAGATATGACAGCAGATAGAAATGTATGGAAGGGCAGCACATACTGTGCCAACCCTCCCTACGGATAAGGATTAGTTGATGAGAATTTTGTAATAACAAGTATGGAGCATCCTGTCAGAAATATTTAATATGCAAAAGTATGGCCCACAGTTATTTCTTGTTATATGTATATGTGGTTTTCACAAAAACAAATTTATTATTATTTAAAGTTCTTACACACTAAAGATAATCTGCCAACAATTTGAGTTGGTGAAGCCAAAGTTGGTATATTGACTGAACTTCCATACATGATCATACTAAGTAAGAGTCCAACTAAAGTTGATATCTGCGAGGCTTTAAAATAACACATATAAGTAATAATCAGTATTAAATAGTATTTTTTAATGAAGCAAAATGCGTAATCTATACAATTCATGTTACATATTGGGAGTATTGAAAGATAGCTTGCTTAGCACAGACTGTTTATTTAAGTAGCTGTCACATAGACAGCAGGCACAGCAGCTAGTTCGGAAACACGTACAATACATACACATACACAACAATTTAAAATAAGATCTAATCTAATTTAAAGAAATATCAATATGTATAATTATGTGATCTTGTTTGTACTCAGAAAAATTAACCTTTAATAAATTGTTTCCTATAATATAATGTAGTTATGCACCTGTTAGGTAATTTATCTGTTTTCTGTATACTTGTTTTGTTTTCCTATGTAATTGTGTGAATAAATTAGCTGTTGTGTATATATAAATAAAAGAAAAAAAAATTGTACAGTTTGAGAACCACTTATCTTCTTCTTCTTCTTTTAATGTTTAGTGGACCCCATCGTTATTTCGATTCTATTCGTCAAGGTTGAAGATAATTAAAAGTATATAAAACAAGACTAAAATTTTGAGTAGCAGTTAACTAGATAGACGGAATCCAATGTGATTGACAAATGACCGGTAGCTGAAGATATCAATCAAGGCACTGTAATAGGACAACACCAATGTTACTAAACCACTTATCTAAATGTTGAGAATGCAGGATGTTTTACAAGTTGGTATCTATGTTGTTAAATGTTGATTTATTCTGTCAAATCATACTTTCTTGCAACTTTTCACTATAGAAAGTTGCTGTTAAAGATAAAATATATCAGAGAAATTCCATAGTTACATGTCTTCTTGAATTATGGTATTAATAATGTCTGCAACTTTGTGATTTAACTGAGAAAGGAAAAAAAAGGAAAAGGAGATTTGTTCCGGATGATCAGGTTCGCAGATCATCATCATCTGAGGCACTACAGCCGCGGTTGGGCCTGGGCCTGGTACAGTTAACTTCTCCAATTCTGTCTATTTTGGGCCTTTTGCTTCTAGCTCTTGACGCCGATGTTCTTAAGATCGCGTTCGACGTCGTCTAGCCATCTAAGTTTCGGCCTACCACGCGCTCTACGTCCATCCGGCTTATTTTCCAACAAGTAGGAACTCTGCAATCATCCATGCGGGCAACATGTCCTGCCCAGCGCAGTCGTCCAATTTTGATGACCTTGGTGATGTTAGGCTCTTTATACAGGTTCGCATATATTCTATGTATAATCGTCTATTCCTGTTCTATATACCTGGAGCGAATTTATGTATGTATCGAAAAACGAATTTAAAAAAAATTGTAGTCTGAGACACAGACTGGACTAATTTGATGGGACTTTAGACTGATGCACTCAGGAATATAGGCTAGTATTAATGAAAATAATGCTTGAAGTGTTGTGTACGAAGTTATAGCTTAAAAATGACGTCACTAACATATAAAACAACATAGTGAACTCGACTTTTTAGTCATCATTGGAGGCACTACAGCCGCGGGTGGGCTTGGGCATGGTCCGGTAAATTTCTCCATATCAGTTTATCTTGATGCCGATATTGTTAGCATATCGTTCGACATCATCTAGCCATCTTAGTTTGTTCCTCCCGCGTGATCTATACGTCCCTCCGCTTGATTCTCTAATAAGTGTTTGGGCACTCTGCAATCACTCGTCCTCGCTTCATGTCCCTCCCATCGTAGCCGACCAATTTTCATGGCCTTGACGACATTTGGCTCTTTAAATATTTGGTACAGTTCATGATTGTTCAAACACCAACATACATTCCTCGACTTTTTAGCAGTAGTGGTAAAAGTTAGTAAAATATATTCCTTGGACATATTCATGTGCATTAGTTTGTCAGGAGCCAGATGTTTGCGTCCGCATTTAACATTCGAAATCAATATTGAATCAAGCTCATGTATCCTTGTGAAAAAATAATAATTTTGGTTATGAAAACTTATCCTTGAATTGCGTTTTGTGTAACATTACAAACTAACTGTTGCTCGCGACTTCGTCTGTGTGAAATTAAATAACATAGCCTATGTAACTCATTGATAACGTAGCTTTTTAATGGTGAAAGAATTTTTGTAATCGGCCCAGTAGTTTTTGAGTTATTCTAGTAAATACATAAATACAAATCTTCCTAATATTAGTAGTAATAGATCAACATGTTTGTATTGTGTGGAATTTGTTAATAATTTAATAAAACACTTATTTCTTAAAATAGAATTTGTTTGCGAATAAAAATAACGAATGTTTTAAAAATAGTTAATTCGATATTATTATACGGATAAAGAGCATATTTAAATTCACGATTAATTTAGATATTTGATAAAGCTATTTTTATAGTCTTATTTTAAACACTTCACATTGTAAGATGCGCTTACAATCTGACAGACGTAAGAATAGAGGAATTTGGATTTTACGGTTGTGCACCTTTGACTAAACTCTCACAATTGTTTTGAGATTGTCCATTGTCAATTGTTTCGCCCATTCAACTGATTTACACAACTAAAATCGAGTAGTGTGCACAGCTCATAGGAATCAAAGTCAGACTAAACAGTTGTGCGATAGTTTAGTCAAAGGTCTGCGCGCGCTCTTAATATGGCCTCATTTAAGACGCTGTTACAGATTTTTAATGTCGTTTTAGTTTTATATTAGTTTTTTTATATCATTTGTAGTATATTAAAATTATTATAAAAATATTTGAGAAATGTATATATGTAACAAATGAATACATGCAATACATTCTCGGCTTATGTAAATTTGCATATGTAATTACTAATGAAAGAAAACGACAGGTCAGTGCCCGTTCTCTTGCATTTTAATGCCGGCTAAGGGCCTGTCCCACCAAATTGTAAATTGTCTTACAATCCAACGTGTAAAATATATGTTGGAATTTCGGATTTTGTTCCCTTATCTGACAGTAATGTCATTTTTAAGCTATCTGAGCCAATCAGCCAGTGGTGGGACAGGACCTTAGTATTTATGTTACTTCCATTTATGTGTGATTCATTATGAAAGAATTTAATTGAAGTTACCTTCAATTTATAATCAATATTTAACTTGTTTGAATCCAAATTCTTAACCTTATAAAAGCAAATTTACTAAAAATCTTAGAAGTAAACGAAATTGGTCTCTTTTAGAATCTATGTTACTAATATTATAAATGCAAACGTTTAGATAGACGGATGGATGTTTGTTCCAGTTGGTAGCCTAAACTCTTGTACGGATCTTGATGAAATTTGGCACAGATGTAGAATGTGTTCCAGAAGAACACATAGATTACTTTTGTTTTTTTTTTTATTTTCTGCGGATGGAGTTTTAAGCGTTGAAAATATTGTTTTCATTTCATATTTGACTTATTTGTCAGGAAATAGAAGCTATCGAGGAGCAATGGCGGACGGAGTCTGCGGATCTAGTGACCGCCGTGGCACGCCTCCAGGACGAGAACAAACGACTGAGACGGACTATAAACGCACCTGCAGATGGTAAGTTACCTTTAACAGTATACCACTTATATACCGGTTTGCGACATTGAAGTGTTATTATTATTGTTGGGTTTTGGGTCATAAGAAACACACACGAATGGATTGATTTATTGAAGACGAGCTTTCGTCCGCGACTCCGTCCGCGTGGAATTAAAAAAAAACAAAGTGAGTAGCCTATGTGTTCTTCCAGACTATCCTCTACATCTATGCCAAATATCATCGAGATCCGTTCAGGCGTTCGGGCTGCAAACTCTAACAAACATCCATCCATCCATTCATCTAAATTTTCGCATTTATAATATTAGTAAGATTTTATAAACGATAGTGACATTTATATGGCGAGAATCAAAGAGTAAGTCGACACAGATAAGTCAATAATTATCATAGATCAATCGAAACAGAATACAGAGTAAAAATAATAAACAAATTGTTTCATTTACATTAATTTTGACAGTCATACATCTGCATTACTTTAGAACTTGGACAAACATATCCTTTTTTTTAAATGTATAAATGTATGGGTGAAAGATGGTATGGGTTTAGTAAGCCCATATTATGTGCACTTATTACAATCTCAAGTAATAATTTATTTTACTTTTCTTGGTAAAGATCGAGATGTCTTCCATCTTCTAGATTTGATAAAAATGTAATGTAACGTCAAGATTATTGTTTATCAAAGAAATAAGAAAAATGATTTTTTTCTAACTGCAATGACTTGATTAAATTTGTAAATAATTTCTTCTATACTATTACATTTCATAATAATATTATAAATGCGAAAGTTTAGATGGATGGATAGATGTTTGTTAGAATTTGTAGCCTCAACGGCTGAACGGATTTCGATGAAATTTGGATGATAGTCTGGGAGAACACATTGGCTACTCACTTTCGTTTTTTTTTAATTTCACGTGGACGGAGTCGCGGGCGAATGTTAGTAATATCATAAAGAGGAAAGATTTGTATTTTTGTACGAATTGAAATAACTCAAAAACTACTGGGCCGATTTTAATAACTTTTTCACCATTAGAAAGGTAAATTTATCTGTGAATAACATAAGCTATTTTTTTTATTATTTTTTAATTTCACTCGAGAGCCACAGTTAGTATACAATATTTTTATAATCATTCTTTTGTATCTACGTGAGATGCCAGAGAGGTCAAGTTACTTACGGACCGTTCATCAGCGTTATTTGAGAAGATAATGCGCGCAAAATGGCGAGTCCCCTTTCTAGATAAAGTCTAATGGACCGTTCTCACAGATCCGGCACAATTTTTATTCTGTCTAGCTGTCTGAAATATAAAATGTATGTAAAGAAATTATTATTTATTTTATTTTAGAATTGTGTCAAAACACTGTTTCTAAACGAATGTGATTGGTTGTGTGTGTGCCTATTGTTGATTGGTTGATTCTAGAAATCATCTTAAGGCCAAAAATGTCGTCATAATTATAGTGAGTAAAATGTGAGGAAAAAAATTGATAGTATAGTAACATAAATGTCGTTTCTTTTTGCAGAGCAACACATTTATTTGAAAACTAGTTATCCGAAATAGAAATCTTATAAAACGACATTTATGTTACTATATCATCCTTTTCCTCACATTTTACTCACTATAATTATGACGCCATTTTTGGCCTTAAGATGGTTTCTAGAATCAACCAATCACCAATAGGCAATGACATTCGTTTAGAAACAGTGTTTTGACACAATTCTAAAATAAAAGAAATATTAATTTCTTTACATGTACATTTTTAGAACGAATATGTTCATGTTTTATATGATTGAATGCGTTGTGTCCGGTTCAATTGAAATAATACCAATTTAAAATCTGGGTATTGTAGAATATACGTGGATGATAACCTTCTATCTAAATCTATACATATAATAAAATTGCAGTGTCTGTTTGTAATGTCAAAAGAAAAATTCCAGATTTCGAGAAGATGATATATTTGCGTTGCTGATAACGAAAATCACATTTATAAGTTTTTTGTCTGTCTGTCTGTCTGTCCGCAAGCCGGGTTAGTTCCGGGTAATCTCCGAAACGGCTGGGCAGATTTCGACCGGACTCACTGAAGGGTAGTTGACATAGACGAGCATATTGTAGATTACTTTTTATCCCGGAAATAGCTACGGTTCCCGCGGGATACACTGATTTCGTTTTTGTCTTTCGACGCGGACGAAGTCGCGAGCAAAAGCGAGTGTAAAATATAATTACGACCACATAAGCGTTGTTCACTGACTAGCGCGGTGGTGGGCAAGGATGAGAAATCGAAATCTTATTTTCTTATTTATTTGTGATATTATTAGTATTAAAAACTACAGTAATTCAATTGTTATATAACAAATTAGCTGTTGCCCGGTATATCGTCCGTGTGAAATTACAAAATAATAAAAAATAGCCTATGTTACTCACATATAAATTACCTTACTAATGGTGAAAGAATTTTTGATAACGTCCCAGTAGTTTTTGAGTTTTTCAATACATACAAAAATCTTTCCTCTTTATTATCTTAGTATAGATAAGTAACGGAGAAACCTGTAATATATGTGCTTTTTCACCTAGTTGCTATAAACTTGACGGATTTTATTCTTTCAATATCACTAACAAGCGTGTGTAATAGACACTATGTTTGTAAAATACAGGTCACTGAGTAATTGAATTAGGTTTTGTTAGGTCACGTAACCAGGCGCGCTTCAAGTATCAAATGTCTAGATTGTTATCATAACTAATTGGTGCAGTGTCCAGAGAATAGCCTAATTTAATTTTGTTTTCATGTGGAGTTGCTTCACGAAATATATATAAAACATGTTATTAATATAATTTTATCAATACTAATATTTTAAAGAGGAAAGTTTTGTATGTATTGAAATAACTCAAGAACTACTTTGCCGATGTCAATTTTTTCACCATTAAAAGCTATGTTATCAGTGAGTAACATAGGTAGTTCCTGAGATATAGTATTTGTAATTTCTCCTAGGTACGAGTGCTCCTCCGTCGCCGGCACGAGAACACGACCAGGAGGTGCTGTCTCGGCTGAGCAGCACAGCAGAGAAGCAGCGCGCCACGCTGCGTCATCAGGAGGTCCAGCTGCAAGAGAAGCAACAGCTTATCGAGAGTGTGAGTGTATATTTATGTTATTAAGTTATAGCGTTACTCATTAAGAGCGTCGGTGGCTCAGGGGTTTGAGCACTTGACTTGTAATCCACAGGTCCTCGGTTTCGCATCCCGACATCTTTCAATGTAATTTTTAAATTTGAAGTTGTAGTTCTTAAATACTTAAATACGTCCCCACCAAGGGGCTCGCAGCCTACCCTAATAAGGGGTGACTAGGCCATAGTCAACCACGCTGGCCCAGTGCGGGTTGGTTGACTTCACACATATCTTTGAATTTCTTCGCCGATATGTGCAGGTTGCATCACGATGTTTTCCTTCACCGTAAGAACGTCGGGTAAATTTTTGTACATAGGAAATTCGAAAAATCAAAAATCACATTGGTACATGGCGGGATTCGAATCCAAGACCTGTAGATTACAAGTCAAGTGCTTAAACCACTGACCCACCGACGCCAGTCCAGTATAATGCTAGTATTATATTAGTTATGGGTTGATGGATGCGAGTATTAGATACTGTATATTGAACACGTATTCAATTCTGAAGCCTTAGTTTGTTATAAGTATACTTTAGGACCGCAATTCAATCCTAAATCTTTATATCATGAACGTATTGTACCAAAGTCATTTCTATTACTCGGTAATAAGGTTTCAAATTGAATAATAGTGTTTTCTTATTTCACTTTCGTTGTATCGCTTCGAATAAATCGATTCTGAGTTCGTGCAAATAACTGTTCGCGTGCGTTTAACAGCGGTGTTTCAGCTTCGTATTAAATGAACTTGGACGCAATAGTGTTTTTGTTCACAATTTGTTTTATTATAAGAAATAAGCAACAGTTATCCAAATATTGCTGGGTATAAACAGTAAATAATTAGTAAATATGGTCACGTATTTAAGAGCACAATTACCGTTTATGATTAGATTATAGAAATGGGTTACTAACTCCCGTTATTTCGGGAGCTAAAACAATCCAATAGTGGAAAGAAACCCGTATCTTACGAACATCATATTTGTAAATGCCACGACAGTTTAAAGTTATATACACACTAGCTGTTGTCTGCGACTACAGTATTAAAAAACAAACCAACTATTAAAAACAAAAAAACGTATAACCCTAGGGAACCCGATATTTTTCAGCGATGAACCGTAACCCATTTGTTACTTCAGACTTTTGATATCTATGCCAAATTTCAATAAGATAATTATGTTGAACCGTTGCCGAATTATTGAGTAAATATGAATAAAAAATTGACATATCCCACGAGAACCGTAAATATTTCCGGGATTAAAAGTAACCTATGAGTTCTTCCAGATTATCCTCTACATCTATGTTAAAGTTAGGCTACAAACTCTAACAAACATCCATTTATCTAAACTTTCGCATTTATAATATTACTAAGATTTAACCTATTTATGTATTTAGTAAGTACTAAGAGAGTTAATATTTAACATAGTTTATTAGCCTTAGTTCCAAGGCAATGTGCGGAATCTCGTCTCGAGGAGGTTGCGGTAAAACATGCTGTTTAGTTGAGAATCTTGAGGAATATTTCACTCTTGCACACAAATAGTTAAGATGTTAAAGTCTCTTAAAGCCCCTGGCATTTTACTCTAAACTTTTCAACGTTTGATCACTATAATTTATCAATACTAATATTATAAAAAGGAAAGATTTGTATTTTTGTATGTATTGAAATAACTCAAAAACTACTGGGACAATTTTAAAAATTCTTTCACCTTTAGAAAGGTAATTTATCTGTGAGTAACATGGGCTTATATATTGTAATTTCACACGGGCGAAGTCGCGAGCAAGAGCTTGTTATTAACAAAATGTTTATTAGACTTCGAGTCTTTCGTATTTATAAATTTAAATTTGTTGCATTGAATATTTGTCGAAAGTTTTGAATGCGCGAAACGTGTGCACTCTACCAACGCTCCCTGGCGACTGTCGAAATAGGATAAGAAAATACTACAGACGAGTCATGAACTCATGAGTCGATGTACGCGATACGATGTCGAACGATGTCCCTATACGTCACGTGACCGGTTCATTGTCGGACACGATTAAAAGCCCTACAATGGAAACAGGTCTTTAACTAGGGTTTCTTTGTAAGATTATTGATTAATAAAGTTTTAGTAAATTCGTTTGTTACTACAGCTACCTTAAAAAGATAACTAAAAAGAAAATTTTATTAGTAATGCTTTCGCTCGCGACTTCGTCCGCATGGGTTTAAAAAACAAAACTAAGTATCCTATGTGTGCTTTCAGATCTATGCCATGCTACATCTATGCCAAATATCATCCAGATCCATTCAGCCGTATAGGCTACAACCTCCAACAAACATCCATACATCCATCTAAACTAACTAATAATATTAGTATGATTCTAATGTGAGAGCCATATTTTATTTCGTATGTTTTGCTTTACATAACGTAACTATTAGCTTGTGGTCTTACCAAAACTCTGTATATACATTTTCCACTATTTTGTTACGTTATCATTCCGTCTAGAAGTTTCCAGATCATTCCACGACTTTCGCGCCATCTGTTCAAACAAAGTAATTTAGTTTGAAGTTCTCTTTCATCCAGATAAACCAGAATTTTCGTTATTGTCTAGAGTGTTTTTAATGAAGTTATTTGAGAAAATGTTTTTTTCGTTTCCAATGGGTTACCTGCTACCTAATTAGCCGGTTTAATTAAATCCAGCTTTGAGTTGTTTTCTTGTTGGGAAAGGGTTGTTTCTGAGTTTGAACTTCTTAGACTCGACCCCGAGCATACTTTTTGCTTACTAAAACTTTGAAGCATATTTTAGTTATATTATTTAGTTTATAAAGAATGAGATTTACCTTATAAAGGCATATGTTAATCACATTAAATAATATATTTCATTACCTCTTTCTTTATAATTGATTTGACTATTTTTACTGCACGTCTGAGGGCTTATTACGATTCGTGAGAGTGTTTTCGTAACGTCATCGTCATTCAATTTTGTGTCGCCCCTACCGGATGTAAAGTATACTAACAAATCTTATTACAATTTTCGACGGCGTTATGAATACGTTCTCGAAAATGGCGTTTTATTCGTGATAGACCCTCTGTTCAACTGTACATTTGGTGCCCCAAGTCTTGCCGTACATTCACCAACCGTTAATCAATTTATCGATTATATAGTGTCCTTGAAATATTAATTTTATATCAATGGTGTTAAGGTTTAAATTCCAATAACCGTTCCTATTATTGGGCTTCTTTTTGTGCACGTGATTTTTTTCTGTTCACTTTTTTTTTAATGAACTATTTTGTGTATTAGTAACCTTTGCCATTATGCCAACTGTCTAATGTGGAGTCTATTTTGCGAAATATTAAAGCGGATTTACACTGCTAAACACATGTATTTTTGTATTATTTTCAAAACGAGTGTGAAATCTATTTTAAGAATTGTTTTGCTACTTTATATGTTTATTTTTTCTTCTTTATAAAATCTAATTTTCTGATAATCCTTATTGGTAATGGGTATAAATTATTTTTATAGCATTTTTATCTTAATGTACTAAACTTGAAATATTTAAAAGAACATATTTTAGCACTAATTTCAATATATCTTTTTTATTTCAATACCTTTTCATTCATTTTTATTCCCAAAAAATGATTTTCTTGGCTTCTGCCAGCCACTAATCGCCAGCCGTCAGAGTTAAACACGTATATAAACATCTTACTAATATTATAAATGTCAGTTTAGATGGATGGATGAATATTTGTTAGAGTTAGCCTAATTGTCTGAACGGATCTCGATGAAATTTGTCATAGAAGTAGAACACATTGGCTACTTGCTTTTGTTTTGTTTTTATTAGTTGTTTGTGTTATCGGGGTAATACAGTTAGGGCCTGTCCCACCACTGGCTGATAGGTTCAGATGGCTTTAAAATGACGTCACTGTCACATAAGGGAACAAAATCCGAAATTGATTATTTTCAGACAATTAACAATTTGGTGGGACAGGCCCTTAATGTATTATTAATCTCCTGTCAAGAGCATTATATAACAAATGCTTTCGTATATTAAATTGTTAACGTCTGAATGAAGACCAATGGTTGCCGGGAACGCATAATTGCAAATCATCACTCATCGAGACGAAGGAATTTATAATGGAGTGTTCTAAGTGATTCCATAATCATTTATAAATTCTCGCGTTTTTATTTTCTCATCGCTTATTAAGTTTTTTTTTGTGAATGATATTAGTTTTTAAATTTGTATATTTAAGTATAATTCATTTGTTTATCTATAATTATCTTACTAATATTATAAATGCGAAAGTTTAGATGGATGGGTGTATAGATGGATGGATGGATGGATGGATGGATGGATGGATGGATGGATGGATGGATGTTTGTTAGCGGTTGTAGCCTAAACGGCTGAACGGATCTCCATGAAATTTGGCACAGGTTTAGAGCATAGTCTAGAAGAACACATAGGCTACTTTTTATCCCTGGAATAGTTACGGTTCCCGTGAGATTCATTAATTTAGTTTTTTAATGTTTACTCGATCATTCTGCAACGGTTCAACATACCTTAATGAAATTTGGCACAGATATAAAACAAAATTACATGGGATAAGCTTCATCCCCGAGAATTGTCGGCTTCCCGAGGGATACGTAGCTTTTTGTAATTTATATAGTTTGTATGTTTTCTATAATAATACTACGCGGACGAAGCCGCGGGCAACAGCTCGTCTATACTAAAATTATTATAAAGATTTGTATTTTTGTATGTATTAATATAACTCAAAAACTACTGGGCCGAGTTCAAAGGTTCCACTGATAAAAAGCTGCGTTATCAATGAGTAACACAAGCTATGTTAATTTTAGGTGGACGAAGTCGCGAGCACCAGCTAGTAGCCTATAAAATTAGATCTACGACATTTTCCAAAATGTCAATGTGTGGCATTTGATGCCCCATTTATGGCATACATTGAAATTATTAACATCTCTAGGGAAGCCTTCGCTATTTTGGCGG